TTTTTTTTTTTTTTTTTTTTTTTTTCATAGTTCTTGGTGACTTCATTGAAACACTTAGTATGAAGCTAGTTTGAAAAATACCTGTTTTTTCAAATACTAGTTTGAAAGACTGTGTGTGTTACAAAAAAGATAAAAAAGTGCTCAAAATAAAAATGGGAAACCTGTCCCTTTAGAAGCAACAAGCACTGTTTGAGTGTGATGCGGCTGGAAGGGTCCACCAGACTTTGGACAGAATTTATTTGGTTTTTTAATGAATGTTTTGAATGTTTTATTGTTGGTTTTGGTGGAGAATTGGGATTTGATTTTAAATGAGGTTATACTGAATTTATATGCAGATTCTTTTTTTATAATTCACGGGTTAAGACCGCTTTGTGTCGGCAAATTTAGATCTGTTTCCAGTTTTAGTGTTTAGTTAGAATTCAGAGGGCTCTTGAAATAATGAAGGAAAAGATAACTATCAATTACCAATTAAATGTTAGAAGTTTTGATATTAAAATTAAAAACACTGCAAACAAAATTAAAATGCTGGACTGGGGGGGGGCAATATTCATAGCATATATAATAGACACATGGCAGACTTTGGTCAGTGGGCCCAAGAAAAGATAAATCGCCAACCTCACTGTAAACCTAAGAAATGAAAAGGGAACTATCATTTTGTGCTCATCAGATTTCAGGAATTTAAAGGGTTGGTATTATCTAGTATTGATAAACATTTCAGTAGATCACATATTGTTAAGAGTGGCTATTAGTGAAATATTTCTGAAGGGCAGTTTGGTACCATATATCAAAACTTTCAATACATATACATGGGGGGGCAAAAGTAGGTTTCTAATTGTTCATATGGAAAATAATACAATACTTAATAAATAATAATACAAGAAAAAACTATTTCTCATACTCACAACTATAAACCTGTGTTTGGCCCACCCTGTATTTTTTCACCTGCTATACCCACTCTTAGAAATTCAACCTAAAAGTACCCTTGGGCAGGCATGCACTTGCACACACACACAAGGATGTCTACCCAGCATTGTCGGGGGTAGGAGAAAGTTGGAGGCAGCATGAATGTGCACCAGAAGAATCGAGTAAATTGCATAGGAACAGATATTGAGCACGGTCACATTTAATCCGCACAGCAGTGTTGGGGGTGGTGCTGTAATTATCCCATGAAACAGGAGAGAATTAATTTAAGACTTAGGGGGTGAAGTAATTTAAGATCACATCGCTAACAAGTGGTAAGTCCAGCTCAGACACCAAAGTTTGTATTTTTATCTGTTAAGCTGTGTTCCCTCTTTATAGGTCTCCACTGCATGCTTTTGAATAAAGACAGCATATGATGTATGCTCTGATTTTATGTAATTTTAAAATGAGTATACAACATGGAGATATTTGGAAAGGCTAATCATCAAAATATTGCTATGGGTGTAAAATTATCAGGTAGTTTTTATTCTTTATACTTTATATAGTACTTTGGACAAAATATTTGTTATCATGGTCATAAAAAAGCATAAAGCTTTCATTTGTAGAATAGATGTTCCTACATCCCAATAATTCTGTCCCTAGGAATTTAATTCTAAGGAAATACTGTGTTCTGTCCAAAGAATGTTTATCACAATGTTACTTACCATTGGATACAAACTAAATGCCTAGCAGGAAAAGAACTGAGTAATGATGTTTCCAAACAATGGGATACTTTGCAAATAGTAAAAATGATGGAAAATGTACTCAACAGAAAGTTGGTTTAAACTACAATAGAAAAGACATAATGTGGTACCAGTTTTGTATTGTTTTTAAGAAGGTTTTTATGCCTCAAAGTGCATCACAGTTAACAGTTGCCTTAGGGGTTGGGACCAGAGGTGATTCTCTTTTTCATACTTTTTTATAGAGTTCCCAAAATTGCGCAATAAATGTGTAATAAATACTTGAGCAATTTGAAAATGCTGTTTCACTTCGATAGGATTAATAACCAAAGTAGAATAGTGTGAGTGAGGTGTGAACTTGGAAAGCTGCCCTGGCTCCCAGGCCCTTAACCTCTCGGTCTATGCGCAGGCGCTGGCTTGAGCGGGCGGCAGGTGCACCGGACACAGGCCGTCTTCAACCACACAGAGGACTACGTGCTGCTGCCCGACGAGAGGACCATCAGCCTGTGCTGCTGGGACTCGCGCACGGCCGAGCGCCGGAACCTGCTGTCCCTGGGCCACAACAACATCGTGCGCTGCATCGTGCACTCGCCCACCAACCCCGGCTTCATGACCTGCAGCGATGACTTCCGGGCCCGCTTCTGGTACCGGAGATCAACCACGGACTAGGGCCCCGGCCTTAAATACGGTTCTTTTCTCCAGGACTCTGCCCCTCCCTCCCCTGTGTCCCGTCACCAGCCTCCGTAGTAAGTCATTGGACCACCTTTGGCAGTCAGCTGCCACCTCTACACCCTTGGATTTGCACAAAAGGCTCTTTTTTTACCTTGATGTGGAATCATGGTGGGAAAAGTGGGAAATGCAGACTTGTGCAGCTCTGCATTCACTGATTATCACAGTGTGATTTTCATCGGTTTTGTAAATACAGGACTTGCACCTTCTCTGAATCTCTTGGTCGTTTGAAGAAGGGTAGAGTATTAAAGTGCTCTCCAGGTCTCAGGTGGATCTGTCCTGAGGAATTCTGATTGGGCTCTTTTGTCATCTTCGTGCCTGTTCCACATCTTCTGTGCATTTCCTTTCAGAATGCATTTTGGCAGATAAGTAGGCACACTGCCTAAGAATCGAGTTTCCTACTCTATTAAACCATTTTAGAGAATCAATTCTCCTCTGAAATGACGTCCTAATAATAAAGCTCAGACCTGCAGCTTTACTGTTACACATTTTCACTTCAGTAACATTAGCGGCCAGTTTTTCTGAAGATGTACAGGAGCATCTTTCATCAAACCTCCCACATTGGCTTTTCGTTACCTGCAGTGCTCGTCTTCAGTAAATGCGTTTCCCATCAAATGCTGCCTTGCTGTCAGTCTAATCAAAATTAGGTGGTCCCACCACTGCCCTCAGGTGTTGCTTGTCTTCATGAGTGATTAGTATTGACTGACTTTGTTCTTACCATTTTAAATCTTATTTTTCAGCTTGAACCTTAACTACTCATTGTGGACACATGGCAGCTGTGTTCTCAGAAGATTTTTGCGATTAACTGATAACAAGTTTCCTTTTTCTTGAAATTTTTTAGAAGGGGACAATATTTCTCTGGATTCGGCTCCAGCTGGGTCGGAGAACCCTAAACTCCCCTCACCAAGATAACTTGGGTTTATATTCATCCCCAAATATAAATACCTCATGATCGGGGTGGGAGTACCCAGAGATATAATCTGGGAATATTAGGTAAAAAAAAAAACTAAATAGGTGAAAGTAATTGTTTTTATGTTACAGGAATTTTAAGTCTTTGGGAGTTTATTGCATAAAAATTCTGCTTTAGTCATCCTTAAGGGTCATTTGAATTCTCTGGTCAACAAAATGATCTTCCACATTCTTAATGTGTTAAGTCACAGCACTTTGGCTCACATTTACAAAGACCTATCTTTTTTGCTGCATAGTGAGTAAATTTATTTTTATTTTGTGTCCTGATTCCCTCCTGTTTGAACTAAGACATTGAAGGGCGCTACTCTTGTAAAAGAGACCGATTGACCAGGAACAAGGATAACCAGTGCTACCAAAAAAATTACCAAACAGGACTTCCCACTCTTTTGACTTTTCTTTTGCTTCCAACCTGTGAAACTAAAGGAGAGGTTTGGCGTTTCCGCCTTGTTCTGCTCTAGCTCGCTCGCCGGGATGCCCACACCGCACTCCTGATGTAAGTCCCATTGGATCCTTTTAGTTGTTCATGAATTAAAATGCTAATACATACTCTTCCCAGTGTTTGGAATAGTCTCAGCAATGGATCTGTAGTTTCAGGACTTCTGTTTACAAGATCAAGATACTTTTGTGTTTCCAAAATGAACTTTCTTATCTTTGTTTTTCTCTTAAAAATTACATTAATGTTTTGAACTGGTATAAATGCCAGGAGTATTTCATGGACTTGGTATCTGCACATAATTAATTGTACCACGCCACCCTTGGCATTCACATGGTGGATAATACCCAGTCAGGATAAGAACTTTAAACTGCTATGTTATTTTTTAAAGATACGTGATTTCTAAAATAAACTTTTTGTATATAATGGTAATTTAAAGCTAGTTCATGTGTTCGGAGCTTGCTTCTTTGAACGTTTCCGTGTTTAAACATAAGTTTTCCAACAGCAGTTATGACTCTGAACTGTTACCTTTCACACTTTCTTTAGTGCTTTTGTTCTGGAAGTCAGGCTTTTGTAGTTTAATCACCTTTAGCTGTGTGCCTGCTCTTCTCTCTGACTTCAAAAACTTGGTATAATTCCATTTCTTTAGGTCATTCAGAGAATTCTACCTTTTGCCTTAAGCTTTGGTTTCCCTTGGGAAGAGCAATGAGGTGGGTGGGGATGGCATGGTTAGTAGGAAGATAGGCCTTTCTTCTTCAGGGCTACAGCTCCCTCTTCTGTGGTGAAAGAGCTTCATCAAAACCATCCCCAAGTGCACTTGAATCAGTGAAGCTTCTTTTATAGACACATCATAACATAAACAGATGGGGAGAAAGGGAAAGGATTTACTCTGAGAGGAGACCTGTTTCTGAAAACATTGCAGACCAGATACTCTAAGAACCTTTTCAGTAAAAACCTAGATAGAATTTATTTTCAAGCTATAAATAGCTGAGCTAACAAGAAAGTTGAGGGAATTCCTGAGAGGCAAAAACAACCAGAAAGCACAAATCCAGAAGATTAACAATGACGGCAACCTGCCAGTTACACCAAGGACATTTATTAATCCCTCGTAGCCTAGTTTCTGAGCTCTGGGTCTTCACAGGGTGGGAACTTTGGTCAAGACCCAGAAAGAAAGCCCCAGAAGCTGAAAGGTGCTCCCCTCAGCAAAAGGGAGAACCTGACAAAAACCCTGCCCCCGAGAAGGACACCTGGGAGACTGCACGCACCCAGGTTTACAGGGAGGGGTCTGGAGCGTTGGCACCGCACAGGGTCTTCTGAGAACCCCACCCACACGCTGTTCCTCCAGCAAAGCTGGAACCGTTAACCTGTGCGGCTGGGAGAAACGCAAGCTGGGAACTTGAGGCAGCTCCAGTTGTTGCCACAAATACCCGACAGAAGCCAGCACACATTCTCCAGGGACAACCCCAGGCCTCAATCGCCCAGATAAAGCTCTAAGACTCGCGAGCTCACAATCCACGAGCATATGGGGAAACAGCCACCGTGACGAGAAACTGGAAATGAGTCAGGCTCAGAAAGACTGATAGTCAGATGCACCAGATAGGAGTATGAAGAACCACAGCAGGGTCATCAGAATGGGACGAGGATCGAGACTTCAGAGCGGCCCGGTAGATTGGAACTTCAGGCAACATTCAGCATTTCTGCAGCTTGCATGCTGCGAGCTTTCGCCCTGTTTCTGCAGCTTTCAGCCTTGGCCCCTGCTCCCTTCTCAAAGGGCGTTTCGACCCTGCAGCCTCCCCCGGCAGCCTCCGTCCCTCGAATGCTTGCTTGCCCGTGGCGGCGCTTTCTGCCCTGGTTTTTTGTGTCCTCCTGACAGCCAGCCTTCTCTGGCCCAAGACCCCCTATACCCACAGCAGTTCCTTCACCTTTTTCCCATGTTTTGCCCATTCCTTCTCCCTTTCAACCTTGGATCAAAATCTAGGCTGTTACACCGAGCTATTGCTGGCAATTCTGGGAGCCGTAGGGCCCAGCCCTCCCTGTTCCATCCCTACCTTAGGGAGTGTAGACAAGTTTGTTGGCGGTTTATGCAGTTCTACTTTGACCAAAAGCACTTGGTTTTTTTTGGTTTTTTAAATTTTTTTTTTTAAATTTTTTGTCTTTATTGATTACAGAGAGAGGAAAGGAGTGGGGGAGAGAGAGATAGAAACATCAATGATGAGAGCCATGGATCAAGCCTGCAACTGGGCATGTGCCGTGACCGGGAATCGAACCCCGATCTCCTGGATCCTAGGTCGACGCTCAACCGCTGAGCCACACCCAGCCAGGCAGCACTGTTTTTGAGTGATCTTCACAAGGTTCAAATCTGCCAGAAAACGAGATGATTGCAAAGCAGTGCAGCCAGAGTTTCCTGCCAAGACTTTGGTGCTTTGGACGTCAGCTCTGGTGTCCGCTGAGCTTTAATAACTGGGCACTGAGTGCCAGGGTTCCACTACTGCTAGTGCAGGGGCCCGAGAGCTGCGAGCCCACTGTTTAGAGGAAGAGCACTCAGACACCAGTTCTGTGAACAAGCGGTCTCTTCCTGCACATTTACTAGGAGCTATTGAAGTGATCACACTCACTAGGTTCAGAAAAGAAAATTAATCCCAAATCCTGTTTTCAGTGGCACATTTGTCAAGAGGGGAAATAATTACCTCATTAGAGGCTTCCTCACTTGGTTCTCTTGAACTCAAACTGTTTCAACCTTGGGTCAGCAGGATATTACGAAAGCCGGCCAATTTCCTAGAATAATCAACCTACACGATATTTGTACACATAAGAGACTCATTTGCCTTAAGAAGTAAATACAAGTGGATTGCAGCAGAACGTCTAAGGCCTTTCATTCAGAAAAAGCATAGTGGGACCAAATACCAGACTGAGAAGTCAAGCCCCTCGTTCTCAGAAGTGCTGCCCTGGTTCCTACGCAGGGGTTAGTCTGTTTTGGTTCAGGGCCGAATCCTATGACTTCTGTCTTGGTTTTGTTTGTTGGTGCAGGCGGGTTTTCCTAAGGAAAGGAGCGCGAATTCGAGCTTTCTGATCTGTATTGTGAGCTTGGGGTCAGCCCTCCAGTTTGTGGAGGAGTCGCTGCCAGGAACTGGCTAAGGTACTGGGAACCGCGGACTTGAGTGGGCTGAAGGTGGCCTTTTTTGTTTTCCGGGAGACCTGGGCTCAGGCTTCCTCTGTCCCTTTTCCGCGTGGCCCTGAGCACGTTTGCCTAGCCTTTTCTGCTTTTTCCCAAATATGCATGAAAGTCAGTAATTCAGCAGAAACTATGGTTGCCAGGGGCTCGGGGAGAGGAGAAAGGAGTGGCTGCTGCAGGGTACCAGGTTTCTTTTGGGGATGATGCTCTGAAATTGGTAGTGGTGAAGGCTGAACAACTCTGAATATACTAAAAAAAATACTTGGTTGTAGTCTCTGAAAGGGTGGATTTGTGGTAAGTAACAAAGCTGGGTTTTTGTAATTGAACGTCAGCAGTACAGAGCAATGAATCCCCATGTACCCAGCACTCAGACGCCCCAGTTTTCAGCTCATTGCCAATCTTGTTTCACCTATACCTCTATTCACGTCCCCTTTTCTTGAAGTATTTTGAAGCCAACTTCAGAAATATTTTATCGGTAAATATTTCAGTATTCATCCGAGATAAGGACTTTTTAAAACACAATTTCTAGCATCACTGCACCTTAAAATAGCAACATCAGTTACCTAATATCATCACATATCTAGTCAGTGTTCAAGTTTCCTTATAAATGATTTGTTTTTCATTAGACTCCAAAAAAGGCCCTTGCATTGTGAGTTGATGTGTCTTTTAAGTCTCTTAATCTTCAGATTCCACCTCTGTCTTTTTCTCCTCTTTGCAGTTCGTTTATTGAAGAAACTAGTCTGGTTTTTTGGCCAAATTAATCTCTGCCTCTCTGTCTCCCCCCAGGTTCGAGGGATGTGTGACTTTGGTTTTAGAAAAGAATGGGTTGTCGGAAGGGGCGGTTTGGGCTGAGCCCTCCACTCGGCTGTAGGATTTCCCCCGCTCATGCACCGAGGGAAGCATCGCATTGAGGTTTCACGGACTCCCCCACCCCCCCAGAGCGTGAACCTCAGCCCTGGCCCAGGCTCAGCCGCGGTTCCTCCTGGGGGGCCATGGGAGCCGTGCCCACCGGCACCGCCCGGGCAGAGCCAGCAGGAAGCCAGAGGACGCGGCGCACCAGCACTGACCACAAACCTGTGCCCGGTGCCCGGTGCCGTTGCCCTGCGAGCGAGGCCAGCCACGTGCCGCGGGCAGGGCCTCGGATGCCCAAATCTGTAAAGGCTGATGGGCAGAGACCGCCAGTCCCGACCGCCGCCTATAGCCTCAGCTTTATGACTCACTGCTCTTTCAGATGACACCGCTGCTTGTCCCTAAATAGACTTGCTAATTCCATCTTTTCTCTTTTTTTTTTTTTTGCATGCTCATAGTGGTGGTGTCCCAGCCAGGCACAAGCTCTGCCCCTAAACCCATCTGCCCGGCTTCTCCTACTTGCCTGGCTCCTGAAGCCTCCCCAGAGTGCCCCCTCCTCCACCTCTGCCCTCCTCTCCACGGACCACCATTTACACGTGGCTGTGAACCCCTCTCTGTTCATCCTGTAGGGTCATTGTCCCCTCATTATCAGCTCCCATTGGCAACACATCAGTTACTAGGTCCGGGAAGTTAACTTCCAACAATGATAGCAATTTAAAATACGGATTGTCTCGGCCAGAAATCAGCTATTTTCATTAGGAGCTCCTTCCCAGTGCTCAGATTTTTAGGGACCACACACAGGACAAGCAGCCCACAAGCCAGTAAGTACTATCATCGCAGGAAGGGGGCGGTGGGAGAGACAGCCTGTTGGAGACGGAACATGAGCCAGGCTCGGAAGGATGGCTACCAATTCTGTCTAAATGAGATGAAAATTCGAACGGACCTGTCAAGGAGTCTGCTCCCCTGGAGGTCCTCTCTGGATGTGGAGTCTGAATTTAGGAAAAGTAAAAAGACTTAGCAAGTAACGCTGAGCAATGTGTGGGCTAGTATTGTGTTTTGAAGTACAGATAGTGGGTTGGTGAGATTTAAGAGAGAATATAACTCTATTGCTGTTTGCTCCGCATAGCCCCTGTGCAGTCAGCACTCAGAAAATGTTCCCCATTCAGTGTTGGGAGCAAAGAGCAGGAGGTGGGCATGGGGGTCAGCAGGAAGAAGCATAGCCTGAGTGGGAAAAGTAGGGTGGGACAAGGTCCTTAAGGCAGTCCCCTTGGCCTGTTTTCTCCTGGCTGTCACAGGACAAGTTTTAGGGGGCTGGCAGGAAGAAACACTGACCGCTATCAGAAAGTTGGGCTTGTGGCCTCCAGTCCAAGAAAAGAGCTTGGTCTGTCTGGTGTGGGCTGTTCCGCAGTGTTCGAGGATTGAGAATGCTGCATGTTCATACGCTGAGCTTTTCAAAGTAGGAACTTCAACCTACAAAGCAGAAGAGTGGGTTTTGTTTTTTCTTTTGTGGTTTCACACAGCAAATGTGTGACAATCTCTACTTATAAACAAAGTGAGACATTCAGGCACTGAGGACTGAGTGTGGCCAGGATTTTGGGGGCTCCACTCCTTCAGCCCTTTCATTTACTCAGCCTGCTTTCCAGGCGTGTGCCTGCGGTGAGAAGCTTCTTCACCGTTTCCCGTGTAGTCGGCTAGCTCCACAGAATTCCGCTTCTGAGAACCAGCCCGAAGCATGCAGTGACATTGCATAACCGCCTCTGAGGCGGAGGTATTAGCTGTGGAGCTCAGAGGGCCGCCTCACAGCGACATGAAAGGAGCCAGCGGCATGGACGGGGTGCCCAAGGTGAGTGAGGGCGGCTGTCTGAATGGGCAGGGGGTAAACTGCCTGTTACGCTTTAGGACAGTGGCCGATTTTTGTTCTGAGTTTCTAATGAAGCCAAAGGGTGGATACTAGTAACATGTCAGTTTGAGATGGGAAGGTTTTGTGTAGGTGTAAGTGTGGAAAATGTTTGTGCTTCAAGCCCCTTACCAGTTTGACTCGGAGATGGGTGAAAATTACTTTCTACCAGAAACCAGCTTCTGGGGTTAATAGCACAACTTATCCCTTTGTGTCCATTCACCTTCTAACACACTTCTTGAGCGAGACTTCAGGCCGCCCCGACCTCTCCTTTCTCTGGGCCCTGCGCACACTCTGTTACTCCAAATTCCCGGGTGACCCTGCCCTCCTTCCCCAGAGCAGAGCCCAGACCTGGGCTTCAGCCTCCCGTCCCAGGCCCACCGCGGGCGTTCCCGACCCCTGCTGTCTTCGCATTAACTTTCATATTGATCTGTGGGACTGGAGCTCAAGGGTGGGACATGAATCCAGAAAGAGTCACTATTTAGGAAGTAGAAATAGCTAAAAAAAAACTTGCTCAGACACAAGGAAAGTGAAGCTCAAGGGTTACTTTGCTACACCTTTTAAAAATATAAGAAGAACGGGGGTGGGTTGGAAGAAATGAAGCAATTGCTAAATGGGGAGACTGATTATATGGATTAAATATTTATTATAGCAACAAGAATGATAGGTGTCGGTGGAATTGATAGCTGAGTAACGCATGCCATCCTCTCTTATGTAGGTCATGTGTATCTTAGCTAGAATATTGTACCCAACGATTTTCTTTGAAAATTTTTTAACCATTGGGAAAATGAAGGGAAAAATAATTTAGTAAACCCTGCATATCCTTTACCGAGATTCACCGATTCCTGGCACATCATTACACTGTCTGCATTTATTTTATATGCTTAGATACTGGCTCACACTGTGTCATTGTCAGCCATTTGAAAACAAATTGCACAGATAATGATACCCCTAAATAAGTCAGCACATCTGCTGAAAACAAGGACATTCTCCTACACAACCCGAATATCATTATCACACCCAAGACAATTTACTTTGAATTAATAATTCCATTCTAACATTCAGCCCACCTTCGCATTTTCCAAAAAAAAATCCCTTCTGGCTTTTTTGGCTATTATTTGCGTGTGTGTTTGTTTTTGCCATCCAGAATTTATTCCAACGCCACACAGTGCATTGTTTGTCATCCTTAATCTAGAATAAGCCACTGCTTTTTCTTTTTTTTTATGACATTGATTTTTTTTTTTTAATCATGCCAGATTGTTTTATGATTTAGATTTCTTATTTATGTGCCGTCTATTGTGTTTAACTAATTCCTATAGCACTTTATAATGTGTAGTTAACATGTATGCATGTATGTGTGCATATGACTTCTGTATTTCCAGCATCCCCATTAAGCCCTATTATGACTATTATACAGATAATAATAGCTGACACTTCCTGACCGACCCTCCGCCTCTGTGCCGAGTGCCCTCCTTGCACATCCCATTCCATCTTCACATCTCCAGGAGATGGAGGTGTCATTCTTATCCCCACTTTACAGACGAGGAAAGTAGGGTTCATGGACTTACCAAGGTCACACGCTAGTGCGTGGGTGCCGGGAGTCAGACCCGGGCCCACTGAACCCGGCCCCAGCCCTCAGCCGGCTCCCTTCCTGCTCCCTAGACCGGCAGCCGGCAAACTTTTCCTAAGGAGCCAGGTAGAGTTTTACGCTTGTGGGCCACCTACCATCACTGTTGCATTTTCTCCTTTGTGTCCACACCCTTTAAAAATATAACTCGTTCTTCACCCTCGGGTAGGTCATACTGGCCAACCCCTGTCTTAGATGAATGATGTCTCAGCTCTCCGCCCAGGAGTGGCAGTACCAGGGCAAGGACCCAAGTCTTGCTCCTAATCCAGAGGCAACCTCAGGGGACGGTTTCCTGGGTGTCCCTACAGAACTGTCAAAACACAGAGAAGAGAATATATTTGTAAAGCCTACACAGATAGGAGCCGTTACTGGCAAAGGTTGAGCTTCTTGCCTTTTGCAATGAAAAGGACATGCCCCATTCATTTTAACACGTTGATCTACCTCATTAGTTTTAATGCTTGCATTGTAGTTTGATAGCTGTTTAAATGGTAGTGCAGGCCTTGAAGGGGTCGTGCCATGGACGTGGTTCTCAGCTGTGGTGCCTTGGCCTTGGCCTTGGCCTTGGCCTTGGTCTTGGTCTTGGTCTTGGTCTTGGTCTTGGCCTTGGCCTTCTTGGTCTTGGTCTTGGTCTTGGTCTTGACAGCAGCACTTGCATCCCAANTCTTGGCCTTGGCCTTGGCCTTGGCCTTTTTCTTGGTCTTGGTCTTGGTCTTGGTCTTGGTCTTGGTCTTGGTCTTGGTCTTGGTCTTGGTCTTGGTCTTGACAGCAGCACTTGCATCCCAATCGCCCTTCCCGCCCTGACCTCGGCCTGTGCCACTGGATGGTGGCAACGACTGCTGAGTCCAGTTGTGCCCTAGTGTTGCTCTTGCCAACCAGGAGTTCCACATCGGTAGAGCTCCCACCTTAGTGCGGAGCGGGTTTTATTATATTTTCCCCTAATTGTCTTCTAAAACAAGGAGAAAACTGAAAAATAAGCATGATGGTATTAGTGATAGGAAATGCCGGCCTCAAATGGTAACGGTTGCAACTAAGGCAGACATCCTTTCGCATGGCAAAGGGGCAAATCTCACCTTCACTCATGGGCTTGTTGGACTGTAGCTGATTGATTCCATGTTCAACGCTATTGCAGAAATGCCACAAAATTAGGTCTAAAAGACAAGGGGAATGAGTGATTTTATTATATGGAAGTCTTTGCTTTGGGTTTTTGGTTGTTTCAAAAGTGACTTATTTTTGAAAATCACATTTGCATATGCTTTAGTGATTCAGTCTTGTTTGTGGCAAATGGGCTTTTCTTCTGAGTGTGTGTCCGCACATATACACCGTTAGAGGCGATCTTCAAATAAGCATCTTTGTGCACAGACATCGTATCTCACTGGGGCAAATGCCCAGGAATTAAAGGGAGATTACTGAGTCACTTCCTTTGTGAGTGGGGAGCAATTTCAGGCTCTCCTGGCCTTTAGCGGCTCTGAGATGGAAGGAAGACATTTTAAAGTCAAAGAACGGTAACTGGGACTGTGTGCGGAGAACTCATCATGGCCCACGATGCCCTGCCTGAGTCCACTCCCGCCAGCCCCTGCTGTTCCCTGCCTTGGAGTGCTGCTCTCTCACCACCAAATTGTCTTCACTTATCAAGATCTGGAATTGTCTTGCCTTTGTCTCCCCCTCTGGAAAGTCAGCTCCCCGGGGGAGAGACCTGGGCTTTCCTGTTCAGTGCTGAATCTCTGTGCCTAGAGTGGTGTCTGCACATAGTAGGTACTCAATAAACACTTTCCATTGGGGCGTGTGAATGAATGAGAGGTTACAGGAAGTGCAGGTGGAGCCTTACGACACAGCCCTGCCCAGAGGACAGGAACTTCCTAGTTAACAGGTGGCTGGGAGCAGAGGTCATCACTGACTCTCAGCTCTCTAACCCCACCTGGCCCCAGCCTGAACTTCCATTCAGCCTAGGTTTCTGAGGAAAGGCCTCTTCCTTCTCCTGTGATCACGTGTGGCCCTAGATCTGAGCCTCTGCAACTGAAATCAAGGTCACAAAGACCTGTGGCCTCCCTCTGACCTTATCCAACAGCTTCATCCCATCACCCACCTCACAAGGCAAAACAGCCCAGACATAACATCCAACTTGAAAACACAACTCACTGTCCACACTGTCCATTGTTCACTCAACACAGTTATTGGGCTTGGAGGTTTGGGTGATCAACACAGAGCGGACATCCGGTGGGGTCACAGTTAGTAAAGGAGTAAATGGACACGATGACTTCAGGTGGTGAAAAATGCCATAAAGAAAATAAAACAAGGTGATCTGATAAGGGTGATGGACAGACAGGGACTCTCTGGAGACTTGAGTGATGGGAAAAGCATTGCAGGCAGAGGGAATAGCAAATGCAAAGGCCCTGAGGTAGGAATGAATTCAGCAGAGTAGAGTATTCATTACAAGGCCATTGTTGGAGCAGAGTGAACAAGGGGAGCGATCTCGGGCGAGCCCTGTAAGAACTTAGAAATGCATTCTAATTGCAAAGGAAGCCACTGGTCTATTTAGAGCAGGAGATGACATGATCTGATTTATGTTTTTAAGAGCTTACTCAGGGTGCTGTGCACCAAGGGGACTGTGGGTAGGAAAGAGCTGAAGCAGAACATGAGTCAGGAGACAGCGCAGGTGGCTTTGTTTTCCATTTTGGATGCTCTCATGCTGTTCTCCGTGGACACAGAGAAGAATTGTTTGCTGTCTTTTGAAAAAAAAAAAAAATGAAACTTTTGGAGTTTGAGATGGTCAGGGGATGCGAGCAGAAACAATAGTAAAGGAAGGTGTAAATAGCTTGTATTCGACACGTGCTAGCTACCTTTTTATTTTGTTTTTTAGAAACTGTTTTTTCCCCACCAACGTTATTTCTGTTTTCGGTTGAGACAATATGCCTTTCATTTATCCAGCAGATGCCAAGGGCCTGCTCTGTGCCAGGCACTGTTCTAAGTGCCACAGAGGACAAAAGTGCCTCATCTCCTCTCTCAGTATTTAGTACTTGTCATGAGAGTTCATGAAGTGCCCCTTACAGTAAATTATTCTTTGCCCTGCTTAACAACCTTCATTCTCCTAACTGTACGTAATCTAGAGCTCACTCTTTAAAAAAAAAGCTGAACAGAACCCCACCCCCACCCTGGGAGTTAAAAAGTCGGCTGCAAAGGAATGTGGCCTCCGCGATCATGGAAACGGGGAAGTGACCATAGAAACGCAATGTGGTCATTTTGGAACTGTGGTGACTAAGGGAGGAAATGACAAGGGCCTGGAGAGGAAACAGCTCGGAGGAGGAAGGTGGGAGGCTGCTAA